CCCTCTCTGAGGGGGTCAAAGTTTCGCCCCCTATAGACACCGATGGAACCAGCTGACTATGCCGGGGCGCCGGCAACCACAGCCACTCGGTCTTGGAAGGGTTGAGTCTGAGTCTGTTCCTCCCCATCCAGACCCGTACGGCCTCCAGGCAACGGGTCATCACGTCAAGGGCATCGTTGGGGTGACCTGGGGTGGAGATGTACAGCTGAGTACAATCCTTTGCATCAACCCGCCCATGCCCACTCACCCACGCTCACCTGGCGGCACTCATGGCCACGCCTTCCTGGTCACGCCCACCTGCTGCAGTGAGTCGTCCCATTCCCCCAAGGGCACATTCAAGGCTTATGGATCAGAAATTTGATCTGTCTTCCTGCCTTTCTCAGTAAAGTTGAGCCTTTCAAGACACATTCTCCAAGGGAGGAAGAACTTCCTAACTTTGGGAGAAGGAGCAACCAGCAAAGATTATCTAAAATTGATCAGCTATAAATTCTAGGTAAGCTGCTGCCTAGGTTACAACTGTTAACACGCACAATATGTTGGGGCCAAGAAAGGAAATCACTGGTAAGACTTTGTTAGGAAGGATCACCAAGGGAGCTTTGGATCTCACACTAAAATAGTGAAATTTTGTTATGTTCGGGTTAGGGTTAGGGTTAGGGTTAGGGTTCCCATGGGACAAAGGACACCCTAGGTGTCTTTAATTTCCTTCCCTTTTTGAATTGTCTGCAGTCTTTTCCTTCCTTTTCTTCATTAGGCTCGTAGCCAAGAACTGGAATCCATGCAGCAAACTGTGGAGGAGCTACGGCTGCAGATCCAATCCATGGATGGCACCAAGGGCTGGTTCGAACGGCGGCTTAAAGAGGCGGAGGTACTGATTTGGAAGAGATATGGAGTAGTAACTCCTTCCAGTTGTAGAAATCAGTTTTTGTGTATCTATTGATCCAATTTGACATCTCAGTATTGGGCCATAACTTAGAAATTGGCATTCTCTGGATGGGCCAGTCAGGTTTCCTTCTAGTCTTTTATTGAGCATCTGATTTTTGTCCTCTTCCCCAGGAGTCGATAGAGAAGCACCAGCTGGAACACATGGAGGGCCTGAGAATCTGCAAAGAGCAGCATGCAGCTGATTTACAGGTATTGGGCGCTGCAAATTGTCTATTCCTCCCCAGGCATGAGAAATGACAGAGATTTATTTGCTTCCATGCTGTCTGGCATAACAATGCCAATTTCTCAGTTAAGGGGTTTTGTCTGCTTCTGCCATTTAGGTGTGACTTATTGCACCCAATCGGTTGATACGGTGCTGATGTGAAGATCAGCCTGCTTTTATCTACAGTGGACTGGCTGCTAGGTCTAATGAATTTCTGGTCCCTTCCAGACATGTTAATGTAAGACATGGCTAGGGGGATCTGTAGCCCTCAGTGCTGGTGATCTTCCATTCCCAGCAGTCTCAGCCAGCGAGACTGATGTGAGGGATTCTGGGAATTGTAATTCATAAAATCTGGAGGGCCACAGGTTCTCCACACATAACAATTCTAAAAAATATGCCATAGCGCTTTTCTGAATCGCTCAAGAAGAACCTCTTTCATGAATGTGAATGAGTGATTTTTTCTGAAAAAAAGTTTTTATCACATTGGATTCCTGATTGAGTTTACAACTTTAGTCAGAAAAAATCAACATTAAAAGAGCATATAAAGAATTGGAAAAGGTACATAATATGTCTACGTGTTTAAATAAAAAGTTCTTTGCTTGAGAGCACTGATTTTAGATAGACTTTTTGGGGGAGAAATTCCATAACTGGATTGCTGTAGGCAGAAATGTTATCAACCTTTCCTTTGATTAATCACTGAGAGAAAGGCTGGAAAGTGACAAACTGCTTAAGGCTTTCACGGTAAACTCAAGTGCAAACACTTTTGTCATTGAAACCTTTTTAAAATAGGCAGGATGTGAGCATTTATCTGTATCTTATATTCCAGCCTGGCTAAGGTTGGACCCCTCTGGGACTAGGCTTGAGCAGATATCAGAAGAATAAGGAAATGTCCATATTTAAAGTAAGATTTGTACTGGGAAATCTCTGGTAGATGTCCTGATCTCCTTGGAGAGGCAAGTATCATCGAGGGGAAAAAAAGCCTTCTGAGTTGCTGCTCCCGGCTGTCTTCTCTCGTTCAAGCTTTTCAAATTAATAAAATAGCCACAGTAACTATTTAAATGCAGCTTTTCCAGCTAGTCTCGTCTTCGGCTTTCTCTTTAATTAAAACAGGCATTCCAGAGGTAGCTGGTAGCAAAACACCCGAGGGCTTTTGAAATAATATTACTGAGGTGGAATTTTAATCTACTTTTTATTGGTGTTTGATTTGTATGGTCTACAGCAGAGTTCCCCAAAATTTTCAGCTTTGTGGACTGGCGGGGGGGGGGGAGAGGGGATGGTTCTGCATGTGCATTGGGCAAGAGGGCATTCAGTTGAGTGGGTGATGCACATGTGAGCTCACCTGCCACTTCTGGGGCCTGGTTCCGAATGGCTAAAGGCTCACTGGTGGGCCATAGCCCAGGGGTTGGGGACCCCTGGTCTACAGTGGAATGGTTAGGCAGGTTAATATCAGTCTTCCTCAGGCATGTTTAGTACTACAGTCCCCAAGATTCCCAGCCAGCACATAGCCATTGGCAAAGGCAGTGAATCACCTATAATTTAAAGGGGACTTTGTAGCTCACCTCAGCCTTGAGTGTTACATTTGTGGTGCTGATTCTCCCATCTACCAGCACCAACCTCACATTATCAGTCTTTTGGTCCCAGAGAGGCGCTACTGGACAAATTGAAATCTGTTTAGCTATCGTGCGTTTCCCCACTATGATCCCTGAATTTCTCCATAAGTTTATGGCGGCAAAGGGTGGAGGTGGGATGGGAAGGGAAGATAACCAGGACTGTTTTAATAAAAATCATGCCATGCTCAACAAAATCCATCAAAGTTCCTTAAGGATGATAAATGGATGATAAATGCAGGCTGTTGGCCTGAAAATGTAGATTGAGATGCCATGTCCAGCAACTCTTAAGGTTTAACAGTTCTTGCTGTTGAACTGGATGGGATCTTTGCAGCTAATGTGAAGAACAGCGGATCAGAGCCCTTGGAGAGGAGAATTATTGAGACGGTGGCTATAGAAATAGAAGGAAGGAAGGAAGGAAGGAAGGAAGGAAGGAAGGAAGGAAGGAAGGAAGGAAGGAAGGAGCAATATGTGAACCATCCCTTCTCTTCCTTTACGCTTTTCCTGTTTTCTCCATTGCTGCCTCTTGGGCTCCTTTCACATGTTAGCTGCTTTTTCCTGCAGTGATGAAGAGTAGCTACACGGTAGATTTTAGCCATGCAGTTTGTGCTTTTTCCCTGAAAATGTCTTTCTCAGCCAAGGGCATTTTCCATATAAGAGGAGTAATATGGAAATCTTATTCTGCCTTTTAACTATCTTACCCCTGCCTCTCCTGTTCCAACTGGGTTGTTTCCTCTGCAGTTAAAAGACCAAGAAGTGGAAGCAACTAAGGAGAAACTGCGAGAGATTGAAAAAGCCAGGAATGAGCACATGGACACAGTCAACCGGCTGAAGCAGGTGTGTATGCACTGAGCCTGCCAGCTTCCTCTTGGAACCGGTGCTTGGCAGGTGCACTTCCTTCAACCGTCTGTTCCCTCTCTTCCTGCCAGGACTTGCCCACCTGCTGAATTATGTCTCCTCCTCCAATGTGGTTGCAGTACCCTGGCACGGAGAGACAGACGGTGCTACTGTCCCTCTCCATGTGTTCAAACTAAGGTTTTTGTGGTGGGTTCTTAGAGCGTTAAGAACACAGGCTTCCAAACAATGCCATTCCTGGTTGGGTTAGAAAGAAACTAATCACTACTACATCTGAGCGTAGAACTTCTCATCGTATTCAAGGGAATGATTGAATCACAGAACATAAGGATTGGAAAGAATCTTGGAGATCATCCTAAACCACCCCTCCTCCTAGTGCAGGATTCACTATTTCAGCAGTGTGTACAATCAGCACAATATGGTGCCAAAAGAAAAATGGGGAGAGGGAAAGAAATATATTTTGACACTAGGCAAGCTTTCTTTAGACCTGGGAGGGCAGAAGCAAGTTCTCTACAGATTGCCCTTTTTTAGTTTCTGGATGTGACCAGTGGGGCCTTTACTTGCTAGGAGAGCAAAAAAGCTGCTTTCCTGTAGCTAATGGCAGATGTCAAGCATGTGAGTGCGCTGGCCTTTAGTTCAATAATCCCAATGCAACTATTCAGGCATCCCCTTATCCCAGTTTAGAGAATAGGATTGTTGTCAGCCCTTCAAGGTAGGCTACAAGAAACATTAGAACTCTTGTTTATTAATATGAGCTGGAATAACAAAATCTTGAAAGCCCGATCATATTTCTCTTTCCTTCCATCTTACGCCAAAGAAAATCAAATTCGGGCAATCTTTTTGTTTCTTTCTCAACCAATCAAATTTATTTACAGACTTAAGCCAGATGCAAACAAAACACCTAATAATAGAAATAATACGTTTTTCTATATATGTGTATAATGTCATGGTTCCGATAGACAGAGATGAGAATTAAAAAAATGGCTGCAGCCATGCTCATTGTAGAGTTGGACATATAATAGAAGAACATTAAGTACAGGAAGTCCTCGACTTACAACAGTTCGTTTAGTGACCATTCAAAGTTACGATGGCACTGGAAAAAAGTGACTTCTGACCATTTTTCACACAACCATTGCCGCTTCCTCATGGTCACATGATCAAAATTCAGATAGTTAGCAACTGGTTCATATTTATGACGGTCGCAGTGTCCCGGGGTCACGTGTTCCCCTTTTGCGACCTTCTGACAAGCAAAGTCAGTGGAGAAGCCAGATTCACTTAACAGCCGTGTTCCTAACTTAACACCTGCAGTGATTCATTTAACGACTGTGCCAAAATTGTAAAGTGGGCAAAATTCACTTAAACAAATGTCTCACTTAGCAACAGAAATTTGGGGCTCTGTTGTGGCCATAAGTCAAGGACTACCTGTATAGTGAAATCTAAAAATAAGAAGAAAGATACTAAAATAAGTCCAAGTAAAATACTATTATAAGAAATTCCAATAATGGCACAGCGTATCATAAGAATAGTAGCACAAACCGAGAGAAGTTATGAAGTTATTTTAGAGTCCTTGCCAAAAGTAGTAACATTATATAGAAATGAGTTTTTTTTTCCTCACGTTTTCTTGTTTTCCCAGGCTAAGCTCCGGCTTTGTTAAGTTGCCACACGCTTCTCAAAAGTCATCTCTTTGCTTTTCTTCAATTTGTGATTGTACTCTTTTTGTGGTAGATGGGCTAATTGGGATTGGAGATAAAGCTAGGGCAGGGGTAGGCAACCTTGGCTCTTTTATGACTCGTGGACTTCAACTCCCAGAATTCCTGAGCCAGCCATGCTGAGGGGAAAGAGAAAAGTTTCCAAGCTGAGCCATGCTGGCTCAGGAATTCTGGGAGTTGAAGTCCACGAGTCCATGAGTCCGCAAGGAGAAGGGCGGGATATAAATCTAAAAAAATAAAATAAATAAATAAAATAAAAAAGCCAAGGTTGCCTACCCCTGAGCTAGGGGAAGTAGATTTGGTGCATTTTTTTTTCCTTCATAGTATGACATTTTCTAAGTAGTAGAAACTCTGCTTCTATCCCACCCTGGAGAATGAAGGTGAGGAAGAGATCCCATCGCTTGCAGCTCAGCAGTCCTACTTTGCAAAGAGGGGCCATTGTAAAGATGAGATGAACGGAGAAAGAAATAGTGAGCTGCGCTGCTGCTAACCACGTGTGATAGAGATACCATTTTGATTTATGAAGTGAACAGTTATGTCTCTTTGGCAGGAAGTGAAGGACACAGTAGATGGGCAACGGATCCTGGAGAAGAAAGGAAGTGCAGCAGTAAGTTGGAGGGGTTCTCGATGGAAATTGGGCGGGGGGTCTAAGAGTGTGCACATCATACTTCGTCTGGCTGGTTGAGCTATTGTGACCTCAGCTTGCTGTTCTTTTGCTTTTCTCTATTAACCTCTGAGATGATTTTATCAGGGAGCTAGGACAGTTTTTGTCTCTGTTCCATCCCCTTTGTGAAGCCTGAAGGAAATGTGAAGTTGAGAATTGCTGGCAAACTATAAGACAAGACTGCTAAATTCCAGTCTACCATCACCAGTTTTAAAAAAAAGAAAGTTGGAAACATCAAGCCATGTGAAGCTGGCAGAATTGGCAAACAAGAACCATTTGGTTTCCTGGAAAGATTTTTATTGTTACTCGGGTAATGGAACATTATTCCAACTGATAAAGTCCCTTCACCTTAAATGCATTAAATTACAATGGAGTCACGCCCACTTCTCTTACTCCACCGAGCTATATTTCACGCTGGTCTGGCTTCTCTCCTCACTGTTGCTGGTTATTTAAGCAACCAGAAAGAATAGTGTGAGTTGCTTGAATAAAGATTATTCCAGAAGTTGGAGATGCTTCACATGATGGATGGTATCCTCATGGAAAACCTCTTCCTTCCATTCTGAGAAATTAGCCTCCCTGCTCAGATGCTAAGCTTTCGGTACATGCCAGCAACTGCAGATTGCTAAATTGTGCAGATGCCTAGCCAATGCCTAATTCCAAAGTCTTCAAAACTGCCTTTGTTTTACTTTCTGACCTTAATTGTAGTGTTGTGATTCCAAGATTTCCTCATGTCCACCCACGTGAATGTACTACTTACAGAAATTAAAATGACACATTTGCAATTCTTATCTTTTTGTATAGAAGAGGTGGTTGTAATCCAATGCTAATGAAAGAGAAGTACAGTAGACCTTAGTGATCGCTCATTCAGCCTTATGGCCATTCCTCAGAGTTCTTGTTGTGCCCCCACAGTCAAGGGATCACAATTTGTGCATTTGGTAACTGATGCACAATTTGCCAGTCATGGTGTCTTGCAGTCACGTGATCTTCACTGCTGGCTTCGGACAAGCAAAATCAGTGGGGAAGCCGACAGGAAGTCACAAGTCACGGTCATGTGATATTGCGCTTAATGACCATGCACAATTGTAAGTTGGCATGGTCACATGATTTTACACTTTTTTGACTGTGTCACTTAGCAACAGGGTGCCTGGCCCCAATTACGTTAGTTAACTTCCTATATTATGCATGTGCTGAATAGCAGGCTTGCTTGCTTATCTTGTGCAAAGAGAACTAAACTGGGAGTGGGACAGCCAGTGGTGGGACTAAGCATCAGTGAATCCAGCTTTGATTTCCTCCACATCTCTCTTTTCCCCACGAACAGTTGAAGGACCTCAAAAGACAGCTTCATCTGGAAAGGAAGCGAGCAGATAAACTTCAGGAGCGCCTGCAGGAGATCTTGACCAACAGCAAGAGTAGGACAGGTAAGAGGCGACCATCATGGCTGTGAGGGGAGAGGGGACAACGGCTTTGTGTATATAGGAGTTTGGGTATTTTTCCCTCTCTACTTTATTGTTGTTGTTGTTGTTAATTGCGAAGTCGTGTCCGACCCATCGCGACCCCATGGACAACGTTCCTTCAGGTCTTCCTGTTCTCTACCATCTTCTGGAGTCCATTTAAGTTCACGCCTACTGCTTCAGTGACTCCATCCAGCCACCTCATTCTCTGTCGTCCCCTTCTTCTATTGCCCTCAATCTTTCCCAGCATTAGGCCCTTCTCCAGTGAGTCCTTCCTTCTCGTTAGGTGGCCAAAGTATTTGAGTTTCAACTTCAGGATCTGGCCTTCTAAAGAGCAGTCAGGGTTGATCTCTTCTAGGACTGACCGGTTTGAACACCTTGCAGTCCAAGGGACTCCCAGGAGCTTTCTCCAGCACCATAGTTCAAAGGCCTCAATTCTTTGTCGCTCAGCCCTTCTTATGGTCCAACTTTCACAGCCATACATTGCAACTGGGAAAACCATGGCCTTGACCATACGCACTTTATACTTTATACAGTGTTGTAATTCAGCCGGTGGCCCAGCCTTGAATGCAGCCATTGGGGCCATTAATTCTCAAATGCAAAGATGGCTTCTTATTCTGAATTTTGGTATCGGAAAGTATCTTTGCGTCTGAGTAACTTCAGCCCCTTGTCTAGAATCCCTTTAGTACTGAGCAGTTTTAGTGGGTTTACATTTTGCGCATTTAAATAATATTCCTACTTTAAGTCATTTCGCCTTCAAAACAAAACTCAACGACCTCAAAAGCATTCTTTTTGTTTCATCAGGATGACTAATTCAGCATGTTTTTTCCCAAATGTATTTTGGGAACTTTAGAAATTTGCTTTGAAAGACACATTTACACGTGCACCTCTGTTGGAGCTTAGACCTTTGTGGTAAAGGCAGCCAAGTGCCAGCATTTCTCTACCTTTTCCTCCCTGTGGAGAAAGAGCAGGCACAATGATCCATTTGCAGCTGTTACAGTGTGAGTTGTGCAATGGTTTGCCAATAAAATTGCTCATATAGGCAAAAATCTGAGCTCTACCTAGGCAGAACAGGAAAAGTTTATTGCATAAGATTCTATAATGCTATCAGATTCATTTTTGGCTTCTAGACTCTAAGGGAAGGATATAGGATGCGCTGTGGGATGAGATCCACCACTTGTGGGGAGAACTCCAGCTCCACTAGTTGGGTTCAGGAGATGGTCAGCACCTCACTAGGAGAAGGGGTGGTACCAGTTGCTTTAGAGGTGCAATATATTTCTTGTTAAAGAAGACTTTCCTGGATCCAAGCATTGGACAGCTTCCACTGCATCTCCAACCTTCCCTTTTGTAGGAAGGATGTAGAGGAGGAGGCATCAGCTGCAGAATTCAAGTAGATTATCTTGACCCCTTTTTTAGTCTGGATTTAGGCCTGGAAACAGAATGGAAAATGTAACAGGTTATTCTGATGAATGGCTTTTGTTGGCTTTGTTAGGTAAGAAGAGCGCATCCCTCTTGGTTCTTTTAGCATTTAGTACCAGTGACCACGATATACTTCTGAATTATCTGCAAGGACTGGAGAAGGGAGGCTCTGTATGGTGTTTCTGCTCTTTCCTGGGTGGGTGTTTCCAATCAGTAGAGAAAAAGAGGCTGTCTAGCTGATTGCTTCCTTGTTGAGTGCTGCAATATTTGCTCTTCTTTCTTCTAATTTTGGAAATCTAACGATTTCATGTAAATTTTAAAAAGCAGATGAGAGAGGTTATCTTATTAATGTGGGGTGATCTATTAATATGCTGCTGATTCCTCAGTTATTTTATACACACACACACACACACACACCTCAGACTAAGCAAGAAATATGGTGGAGTTCTTGACCGTGGTGCAGATCTGAATGGGATGAAACAAACAGAATTCTGGCACAACAGAAGACTATTTATTTTTTAAAATTTTGGCTCTAATTAGCTCCTATTATTATTCTGCGTTGTACTCAGCATGTCCATGGCTTGAGGATTTTCCTGGATTCTTAGCTATTGTTAGACTAGACCTGCAGTTAGAAGCTGTGATCAAAGGAACCTGGTGTACAGGTTGTGGCCCTAATTGGAGCAGAAGATATTCTTATTTTTCCATAAATGCTTTTTCCAACAATGTAGAGAAGACAGTTGTTTTGTTTGACAGGTAAAAGAAAAAAATTCTGACAGATCTCCTGCACAGCATTTAAAAGCCTACCAGATATTCTGATTTATCCCCTGCCCACCTGTAGCTCTGAGCCTCCCTGAAAGAGTGTGCAAGTTTGTAGATTTCTATCAGCATTTGTTATAACATCATTTTTAAGACGTGAACTTAATCCTGGGAACAAATGAAATATTTGAAGCAAAATACACATCTATTTCCAGAACTTGCACTGGTAGCAGTTTTGAGATCTCCTAGATCAGCACTGTCACGAACATAAGCTGTATTCCAGGAGGGAGAAATGATGCTGTCTCCAATTTCCAGACACCACAGGAATAGGAATCCAGCTGTCCAGCTTGTAGAGTGCTCAATCAGACACCTGGCCGTCCCAGCTGTGTGTGGTCTGGAGGGAGGGGAACCAGGCAAGTTGAAATTGCTCCCAGGGAAGTAAGCATTAAAACATTAGATCAGCTCAGTGAGTCTTCTGGGAAGAGAGAGAATGCTGGGAAGTGCAATTATTGTATTTGTCTGTGTTGAACTCTTTTGAATGGGGGAAAGAGGAGAAGATGAGTTAGGATTGGAGCAGAGCCGGGCTGCCTAGTCAGGATGGCAGATGAAATAGAATGAACAAAGGTGGGGAAAAGGCTTTTTTTTTTTAAAGGGTAGCTCTGGGTTTGGGCATCTTTGCCCACTGGTAATATATGAATGACATAGTTAGGTTGCAAAACTAGGAAAATCCACCTCAGTGAAGCGTATTGAGAGCTCTGGAGAAGGTGCCATCAAATATGGCCCAGAAGCCATGCTCCTTGACTCCTTTGCCCAGTGGATAAAATGAGGATTTTTAAATCATAACCTGCTAAACTGCTGTCTGGTACCCAAAGAGTCTAGTTATCTCCAAAGTGTTCCTCTTGCCCTTTACTGCTTTATAAACCTGTGTCTCCTGTACTGCATGCACAAGGCCACATTCATGAGCTGAGTTATTTATGTGCACTAGGGCCCTCTTACTGTTGCTGAACTTTGCTATTTCCCATGCTTATCGGTCCCGCTGCTTATACTTATGAAACAGCTGGAGGAATATTGGTGCCATATCTTGTCATTGGGTCTCCTCCTTAATCACAACCATGCCTCGAGTGGGAAAGATGGTAAACTGTTTTCAGCACACATTGATCTTGGAACTGTGATGTATGATTTATATAGGCACAATCCATCCATTCTAAGCTTCTCTGCCCTCAGCTTTACAAAAGGGATTGCTAGTTGCATAAAACAGCCTGTATATTTCTCCCTCTTTAAAGCAAGGCTGAAGCAAACAGTTTTCCTGAACCCCAGGCAACCTACAAACTGCTTGTTTATCTTGCTGCTTTGCTCTAGGGCCCCTGGTACAAGAAAGATTGTCTTAATTTTCTGGGTTTCTCTGTTGTTCCTGTGCAAAGCAGAAAATGTGCAAAGCAGGCCTGTTTTCCAGTATAAAATCGACTTTTTCTCTCTTTCTTCCTTTGGCAAAAGAACAGTGACCTCCAGCTTAGCCTATTGCTAAAAGAAAAGATTAGGCTGTGGAGAAAGACAGGCCTCTGCAGCATCAATAACCCAGAATGGTCCTTGAATGAACATGTAGTTTCAGGCCTGGGTCAGAATTAGGGAGATGCCTGTGCTTCTCTACTTCAGGCTGCCAGCACTGAACAGGTCTCTTATTTTTCTGATTGAATTAAAAATTAAACATCCAGGCTGAGCAGCTGCTGTGTTTGCTGTAGGATCTTTCACTTCCTACGCACCCAGCACTCTCCTTTTGAGAAGCTCTTGAAGTTGTGTTGGATGGTTGGACAACTGCTAAAAATCCCATTTCTGGCATCAGCGGTGCAGAGAATTTATGAAACAATGCAGTATCAACCTGGTTGGTGGTCTAGATGGGAAGACACCGTGCCCTTCCTTGTAATAAGATATCTGTTTCTACAGGCAGATGTAGATGTCAGTATGGAAAAGAAGAAATGCCTTTTCCATCCTCAACCTTTCTTTTCTTATTAATTGAGGCATGGCAGACTAAAACGGATCTCTGTTTGCTGAAATGCTATTACATTTAGATTCTGCTGCATGCGCTCTGCTCCCCTTTCCATTTTTTTTACACTTATCGAAGTATAAAAACTGGGAGAATTTATACAAAAGATGTCACAAAGGAACATGACCAAGAAGCAGGGAGGAGCTACAAAGATGTTGGTAGGATTCTGTCGATTGTCTAGGACGGGATACAAGTTTGATCCAGTGTCCTGACGGTCCCTAAATGGTTGTCGCTCTTGTTGAGCAGTGACCTTAGAACAATGGTGGTGAACCTATGGCCTCTCTGTGGGCACGCACGCCCTGCCCTGGAGATGGCAACCATCCCTCTTCAACGAGCCGCCCGCTAACTTCCCAAGGTCCCATGTGGCCGGATGCATCCCAGCATGGCTGGTTTCCCTCCCCCCCATCCCATCCCTCCTGGCTCGCATGCTCTCCTTTTCCCAGGTATGACCCACTGCATCGCCTCATCAGCTGTCGGCCGGTCGTCCAGCTCAGAGGCGGATTCTCTGAACTGCTGGCGGTGGGCTGCGGAGCCCCAGAGTGCACCGGTTGGGGGGCCGGCAGGCTGTGGCTGCTGACAGACACTGTCGGCCCCCATGCGCTCGCTGGCCTCTGTGTGCAGGGGCCGATGGTGTTAGGCAGCAGCCGCCCCGACCCCTGCCTCGCCTTGCCCTGTGACTATGGCACCCCTGCCCTGCCTCGCCTTGCCTCACCTCACCCCGCAGGACGAGCCTCCTGCCCACCGCCCCACC